TTCTAGACCACTATGGCTGTTAATTTCTGTACAATGCCAATTCAACTCAGTAAATTGGGATAACTTTTTCCAAAGTCGACAGCACAGTTAAAGTTTCCAAAAATTCAAATTATATATATATATATATATGTATATATATTTATATAAAAAGACCAGTAATAGCAGTATATTATGCATCAATAGCAGCAACAGCTTTTCCAGGTTCTGCAGTCATCTGAACAAAATTATAGACATTCAGCACACTCCATTAAAAAAAACAAAACAAAAAACAAAGAGAAGAATAATACCCAGAAAACAGCAAAGTTCTGTTGCTGTTGTGGTACCTGGAGCCATTTTTTTTTATTAGCATCTTAATCATCATCTGGAGAGATAACATTCTAGAGTAGCATCATTAAAAATAGCTCTGATAAAGCATGGTCACTACTACATATCATTAAGCAAGTACAAGATATTGGCCTTACATTGTTATAGGAAAGGATGGGTTGGCCCTATAGAGATGTGCCATGTTCTGAATCAAACTGAGTCCTTTATTATCATAGTCAGCATTCAAGAGTGGCTCTCAGGGTCCTTTTAAACTGCTCTTCTGGGCCAGGGATTTAGATCATTGGAGCCACCCTGCATCACAAGTGCAAGGGCTGGAGGGATTTCAATGCCCAGTACTCCCCTTTCCCCCAAAAAACCCAGCTCTACTAATTGAGGAGGGAGGCTCAGGGAGAGGGGTCCTGAAAGCACAATTTCACAGGAGAAGTTTGCTATATTAGTGGGGTCAGGATAAGTTTCACATAGTTTAATTGAAACAAAATATGACACAGGTGCAGAGTATTCTGTTTACAAAGTTGAAATGATAACATAGTTGCAGATTGCTCTTCCAAAAGGTCACAAAGATAACATGTAGTAGCGGACTTACACAAGATGGGGCAGGGAAGTCTGTTACACATTAACTGAAGGGGACTCAGCAACCACCTGGAATCATTGGACTTTACACAAACGGAGTCAGGTTGGCTATCACAACGTGGGGCTTTTTTCAGAGATGGCTGAATCTAGAGTGTGTGACTTATTTCATGGTGCAGCGGTAGGCTCAAGGGAACTAGGATTAAAGGTGCAGGTGCTACCCACCCTAAGTAGTCTGAATAAGATAAATGGGGCACAAGGATATTGTTAAGTTCCCTTGTTGCTTTTGCTGTCTTCTGCTGCCATGAAACGTACCCCCTCTGCCAAATGCAACCCTGTCTTGCAGCAAGCTATGTACTGAAACCTCTACAGAGTGCTCTAAATTAACATTTCCCCCTTTAACTTTGGGTATCATGTATTTTGTCTCAGTGACTAGAGAAAAGTAACACATCACATCTACTCTCCAACTGATGGCAGCCTCCTGTGCCTCTTTCCTTCATCCACCTTGGGAACCTGTCAGTGTGAAGAAGCCAAGGAGCTGCTCTGAGACCCAGGTTCAAACACTCAGCCCTCCCTACAGTGGACTCCCAGCTCTGGCTCCGCGATTGTGGCTGTGGACATTTGTACTGAGGCTCCCAGCAGGTGTTTACTGTATAAGTCCACTCCAGAAGCACTGTTTTCCTTGCTGGTTCCAACTGCTGAGGATTCTTTCAGTACCAATGCAATTCTTCTTTCTCTGTGACCAAAATATTGTTAATTTCACTTTGTCTCCCACCTAGCAGCTAGCCAGCCACTCACTCAGTGGCACTGCACGGTCTCTCCTCAGCAGTGTAACATATTTTTTGGTGTCATTTAATCTTATTTTCTTCTCCTCTATCAATTCTTTTGAGGTTCCCCATTAACCTCCATTCACTTTGATTCCTGTCTATACTATTGTTTCCCAGACCTAGACACTTTGCCCTGGAGAAGCTGAGTTCCTGTCACTCACTGCTCTGCCATTTTAGGACCAAGAATATTATCTGAAAACAAAGAAAGTTTCCACATTTGCTCTATAAACCTGCTTTCCAGGCTTGGTCAGCTGCACTCACAATCTACCTAGCCAGGGTCGCAGGTCAAGGTGTGTTTCCTTACATACATCATAGAAACTGCAACTATACCATATGTTTCATGGCTTGTGAAAACAGAAGGATACCCTCCCTGATGCCCTCTCAGAAGTTCATTCTGAGGCAAAAACAGGATCAAGCACTGGGCAGCATTCCCATACCACAGAGAATTTTTGCCATGCTCCTGGGCTATGCCCCAGGTTCCACTTCTAACTCTTGTTGGCTATTTTGTAACACTTGAAGCTGAGAAATTGCCACAGCTCATATGCAAGTACATGTCTGCGAAAGAAGGCAAGTAAAAGGAACAGTGTAACTATGACTTTATCATGTGCTTTATTGTTTACAAATCACTTAAATTCCATTATTCCATTATTTCCTTTGATTCTTACAAAGAACTAATATGAGAAGGAATCCCCATTCTCTTCCGATCGCCAGAATAAAAAGGTAAATCATTCAGGACACAAATGATTTGCTCTGCATCAATTTTGAGGGAAATAGCAGAGCTTGAATTGTGGTCCAATTTGCTCTTAGCCCAATTCTTCCCATCTTCCCTCCCCCACCTCCATTCTGTCCCCTCACATCTGTGTAGGAACCAGAGGCTTCAGAGAGCTGCCATTTCTTCTTTCTTGCCTTTTACTTCCTTTTCCAGCATCATGCCCTGGGGATAGCACAGATGTTGTAGCTCTCCGGGGCCAATGTCTTACCCACCCTAACCTTCAGGCTCAACTTTTCATTCTTCGGGGGCTTGAAGGTAAATTTTTGCAGAAGGGAAGTGAAGAAAATAAACAGCTCAGACCTAGCCAGCTGTTCTCCAAGGCATGCGCGTTTTCCTGTGGGACAAAAACAAACAATGTATTTTCAGGTGGCCCTGCTGTCTCTAGAAATTGGTATTTTCAACTTCCTCCTGCAAAACCTGACCTTGGGGGTTGTATGAACCTCTTATTTTTGCCTGACAACCACTTGAATTCACCAAAGCGCACACAGTGGAAATCCAAGCTCAAAAAGCCAAAGCCTTTTAGCGGTTAGTTGTGGGGTGAAGAAGCAGAGTGCAGATTAATCGAGTGGGAGGTCTGGGCTGACTCAGACAGTGGTATCCGGCCTGAAACCGAACAAAACTCATTTAATAAACAACCACGGGAGCAGTCAGTGAAACAACAACAAAACTATGTAATCTGTCTCAACCTTAAAAGGAAATAGCAAAGTATAAGTGAGTAAATGACAGAGCAGGGCTCCTAACATCTAAATTACTTCCCTATGCCTGTTACGCTCCTCCATCATGGGGACCCATGGACACACATGGCCCTGCAGATGGAGCTGCCCATTCCTTCCTCTCTGAGTTGTCTGTCTTGTTCAGCGCCTTTGCTTCCAATGTGAGGGCTGAGAAGGGTCCTCCCCTCCATAGCTCACACTGGACACCACCCTGGCCACATCCCAGTACCTGCCACATGGGGAACTGGAGGCAAAGGGACAGAAACTCAGTGCTGATTATTAGGGCTCACTATGGTGGGACAGTGATGGAAAGAAGGCTGGAATGACAAGTAATCCTTGAGTACAGCATAACTGAACTTTGTAGCATCATAGCTTTCAAAATACTTGTCATGAGACTCTGATAAAACCACAGAAGCAATATGTGCACCCATGTTTAGCAGCAGCACAGTTTGAAATAATTAAAACTTGGAAACAGCCCAAAAGCCTATCAACTGGTGAGTGGATAAAGATGATATGGTTTTCCTATAAAATACAGTACTATTCAGCCATAAAGAAAGATAAACTTGGAGACATTTATAGCTTAATGGATGCACCTTGAGGCCATACCCCTACCTGAAATGAATAGGACACACAAGTATAAATACTAACTTACTTCTTCGGTTTGAGAAACTGAAGGTATAAATGAGGACCAAAATGTACAGTAGATATTGTGAAATAGGAAGAAAATATTTAAAAGAAAAGGGGAACTAGAGAGGATGGGGCAGGGGAAAGGAAAGAATGGAAAGAAGAAAAAGATGGAAACAAAGTTTTTGTATATAGGGGGTGGAGAGATTGAAGGGAGGGCAGGGGAATGGGGAAAAATAAGAATCAAGATACATCACGCACATGTACATATTCTCAGTGATGAATATGATACCTAAGGGTAACAACAAACTCAACAAAAATATTTTTAAACCACAGAAGCAGAATAACTCTCATATGAGATATTGTAATCAAGAATAAACCTAAGCCTTTTAACCTCACCCTCATTGAGTTTATTGGTACATTTTAGGTATACAGTATAGTTACATTCATTATTGGGATCTTGTACCTTTACATGACAGGTCTTGGTTCTCATATTTTCCCCTTGTCCCTGCCCTCCCTTCACCCGTCCTACCCTCCCCTTTACAAACACTTCATTTCCAATTTTTCATTTTTTCTTTTCCCTACCCTTCCCACTTTCCCTACACCTTTAGCCCCTTTCTTCCTATTTCACATTGTCCATTATATCATTAGGATCTTATGTACTATTATAGTTTATTCACACCAGAGAAACTATTCGGTATTTACACATGTGACTTATTTATTTCACTTAGGAGTATATCTTCAATATATATCCATTTTCCTATGAATGAATCTAATTTCTCATTTTTTATGGCTGTGTAATATTCTATTTTATAGAAAAACCACATCTTTATCAAGTTTCTGACTGATGGGCAAATGGGCTGTTTCCAAGATTTAGCTATTACAAAAACAACACTGAGATTCCACCTCACCCCACAAAGAATGGCTGCTATAAAGAAATCACACAATAACAAATGTTGGCGGGGTTGTGGGGAGAAAGGAACCCTT